TGGAACTTTCACTGCTTCCCTGCCTGCCCTCCACTCCAGCACCATGTGGGTCCCAACTGCATTGCCAGACTACAGGAGCACAGGGTCACAGCAGTACCCCAGGGCCAGGAGCAGGATGGGGTTTGTGTGCATCTGTCTGTCTGTCTGTCTGTGCAATGAGGGAGGGGGAGAGAGACAGAGAGAGCAATGAGGGAGGGGAAGAGGGGGGTGTGTGTGTGTGTGTGTGCAGTGAGGGAGGGAGGGAGAGAGAGAGTGTGTGTGTTCATAGGGTGAGGGACTTATGGTGGCAAAGGTCAGGGGTTAGAGGGTGGGGCTTCCAGTCCCAAGATGGTGACCAGGGGGTGGGGCACCTGTCAAGGGGTGGGGCTACCCATGCGGCCCTCAACAACTTGCCAAAACTCAATAATCAGCCCTCTGCCCAAAATAACTGCCCGTCCCTGAGTTGGCCCATTCCAAAATTTCGACTAAAAATCAGCGGGTTTTAAGACTTGAAAAGTATCCCACAATCAGGAAACTTCCCAATCTCCAGCACTCTGCCTCTTGGTATTGGTTCCAAAATAGCAGCTGGCAGTCAGGGGATTCAAACTGGTACAGTGCTGGCAAGCATATGGGACCATGCACACAGTGGAAGTATTAACTACAACCACTGTGGGTGGTATCAGCTCTACCTCTCTTTGAATGACTATGGGTGGAGGAGTGGGTGACTATGTCTGCAGCAGTGGCAAACTCATTCTGTTCATGAGATGGCTTGGATGAATGAGATTTGGGGGGCAGTTTGGTCGAATTGTTCACGCTATGTGTTGGAAGCAATGTCATGGCTGGGTGGTTCTGTGGGTGGGTGGGCTGCTGCTTGTTTGGTTCTTGTGTGCCATGGTGTTATTATGCGGACTTTATGCTAATTTATTATCCTACTTTTCTCAAGGGATAATGGCCGATGATCAGTGACCATTAATTAATGCCCTTTGAGGTGAGAAATGCTCTGATCCAAAGGCACAAAGGTCCATGGAATACTTCATGTGAAGGCCCCAAGGTGGCTGTCACCTTCAGTAACACCCACGCTTGTGATGCCAACTGAGGGGTCCCTCCCTGGTTCCCCTACCCGGCCTGATATTAGGTGCTCCCACAGTGCTCTCACAGTTATCGTGGGTCAGCAAACCTGTGCCCTCTCTAGCAAGGGGAGTGCAACCCAGGGTCTTCCCTCCTCTCAGTAATTCACTAGTGATTTAGTGATTCAGTAATTTTTTGTCAACTCCTCCTCACTGCATATGTTTAATGTCATAGCACATCCCCTACAGATCCCTAGGAGGGCCATACTAGGCTTTAGGTCCTGCCCTGTGCATGCTGGGGCAGAGTTTTGGGAGATCTGCTACATTATGAAATAATATTCCATCAACATCATGCATGTGCCAAAGTGCTGGGCTGGACTGTGACCTCAGCATGTGGTGAAGAACTTCACAACTAGCCTGTTTGAAATCAACAGGTCCCCAGTACCAGGCCAAAAGCACCCACTCAAGTTTCACTGAGGGTTTTCTGGCTGAGTGTTAGCACAAATCCCCTTGGCTGTTTTGTCTCCTCATGTCTTCCACAGCATCTTGCACAATGGAGACTTATTGTGGGACCTCCCAGGGCTACTCTCCTATAAATCAAGCTAAGTTGGAGCCAAACCCCAAGTTTTGGATGTTTTCTACCCAACAGTGCCAGTAAAATGCTCTGCTTGAATGTTTCTTTCCTCTCTCACCTCCCACCTTTACACTGCGTGGACCATTTAGACTGAAAGGCCCTGATCTTTTGAGGAACTTAGGCATGAAAATACCCTTTGATTCTACTAATTTCAGTGGCATGTATATGTTTGCCTACTTCAAGGACTTGTGAGACATTCCCAGCCCTAAGTGCCTGCAAACCAACAAGCACAGCGGGTCCCAGATCTCAGGCCCTTCCCGGCCTACCATAAAAATGATAAATGGCAGGAACTTTGGCCCTTTGGAGCACTGAGCAGGAGTCACCAAAATTTACACAGAAGGAACAGTCATTCTTTGACACAGCGGGCAGGACAAGAGGCAAAGGCTTATCGGATTTAGATGAAATCCCAGAGAAAACTTCCTAACTGTAAGAGCAGTGGGACAATGGGACAAACTGCCCAGGGAACTT